GCACCGCGTGCCGCGCCGCCGCTGCAGCCATTCCTCTCTGTCAGTGTTAATCAATCTCACACCCTCTTCAGTGCTGATACAGATAATCTTGTGGGAAGCTGGCCAAGCTCGCTAACAGCTCTGCAAGCTGCTTCCTGAGTCCAGCAGCTCGTGCTCTCTCACAGGGTCTGTTCCAGCTTTGGTTCCAAGAAAGTGCTGTGTGGTACCACGGCTCGTGTCATTCAAATGGCTCACTGCTGGTGTGCAGGGAGCACGGGGAGCTCACCAGCCTCTGCCTGCAGCCTCCTCCGACTAATCAAAATAGACACTTCCTCGCAGCTGATCAGAACTCTAAAGACCAGGGTAGGAGGCCTCACACATGAGCATGTAATTGTCTCTCTGCATTTCACTTAGTCTCCATCTGCCAGACCAAGGGACATCACAGCCAAGTAAAATTGAAGGCAAATTACAGCACAGGCTTAGGCCCTCCTGGCAAAATTCACTCTAAAAGGCCAAGAGTATTTGCGGTAGAGAAGTTCTCAGCCCGTTTTACCTGAGGTTAACTGGAAGCTGGAGAGCAGGCCAACAAGAATTAGAGCTAACAGCATAGGTATGAGGGCACAGCTTGGAAGAGTGACCCCAGCTGATCCACAAGTTCTGTGCAGAGGTGTTAGACATGAGCTGGCAAAACTTAAGCAATACATACATGTTTCTCTCCATCAATCTTCTTATCAGCTGCCTGCATTGCATCCAGGTACTTAAAATACAGTTCCATCAGCCTATCAACCTGCAAGGGCAGAAGAGAGAGACCTAAGCAAGAAAAAAGAACAATGCAATAATCTTTAATCCTTCATGCCATTTTGTTTTCCTCCTAGCTGCAGTCTCCACAGAGTAACAGGCAACTGTCACTCACAGAAGGAACACATTCTGGAAGGATGGTATACATGTGGTTGGATGAGCAGAGTCTGCAGGCAGCTCAGCCCAATCCCCTATCACAGTATGCACTCGCCAGCTCCAGCTAGAAGGCAGCAAAGACACAGGGCCCCAGCTCGCTCCCTTGTGCTGTGGCTCTCCCAGTTCTCCCAGTTTCTTCAGCCAAGCTTACATAGGATATACCAGGCATATTACAGCTCTGCTGCTCTCCTCTGAACTGGAATGGGAAACAGTCTGCAAGCAGTAGAACAGGTTACAAAGAATACCCTCAAAACACACTAGTGAGGAGTACTAAGGAACCAGTATTTCCCCAGTGGTGGAATTTACAAACCCCTTGGAATTACTGGTTTGCAAAAGCTGCTGTTTCTGTCTCACAACTGTTTGATCTATCCACTACCATGGATGTATTGTGAAAGAATTTCCCAGAGCAAACACCACTAAAGTGACACATTCTAGGGGAAGAATGAGGAATGCTACATGTATATTACAGCAATCCCTCAACACCCTGTCAAAGAGCTTCACTAGAAAATCCAGCACCTTCCCCACTGCCCTGGTTCAGAGCTGGTACCATGTGAAACCGTGTAGCGTGTTACACCATCAGCCTGCAGCAGAGAGACAGCCTGGGACTGAGCATCACTACTGCTGTGTGCAAGAGCACCCGGAAACACGAGCCCCTGGGATGTGGGAGGCCAAGTGCTAACGGCACTTCCAGTCCTCCAGCTGGTGGATAACACCATGAATGAGAGTGTGAGTCCCTGCAGCAGGTACCACGAGGCTTTTCAGTACCTTACTGAGCACACAGAGGCATCCTGCTGGTATTGAGCACCCTCCCAACCTGGCAGCCCCAGACTGCAGACACACACCGAGCACTTACCTTCTCACTGTCATTCTCTGTGAATTTATTCAGTAACCGTGTCCTCTGCTGCCCTCTCAGGTTTCGCAGAAGGGAGGCCAGGATGGAGCAGACATGTTCTGGAGATACAAAATGAAAATTGCATGCTGAGATCAGGAACGGGAGCTTACTTTCTCTGTAACATGCCATTAAATTTACTACTAGCACTCCTGCGTGTAGCTGCTGATAAGCAGAACCCTGGTCCCATCCCATCACTGGCACGAGGAGGCAGAGCCAGAGCAGGAAGCCTTGTCTGTCAGGAGCACAGGCAGCTCCTCACCCCCCACAGCCCAGGCAGGGATGTCTCCTCTGGTTCTGTGCAATTACTCCTGCCACACTGATCACAGTCCTGCTCACCCACAGTGACCTGGAAAAAGCATCTCGCATAAAGCCCAGGTTCTGCCCCACTCAGCTCCGCGGGCTGCAGGGCTTTACACCTTGTGCTGTAGATACCTCAGCAGATTCACAACTGCAGCTTCTCCAAGATGTCCTCACTGTAATCTTGCTGATTAAGACTCATGAAAAATAATGGCCATAAACATTTCCTCACCCATGGTGGTGGGGAGAGGAGAAGGGTCTTGAGACTGGTTCTGTTCAGAGAGGAAAACGTAACATGCAGGAGAAAGGGATCATCATCTTCCTGCCACCGAGCCCCGTTAACACTTATTTCCATGGTGCTGCCTGGAGCCAGGAGCAGCCATGATCGATGACACCATGTACAAAGGATGAGCAGCACAGACACATCTGCAGGGAGGCTCCATGGGCAGGTGAAGCTGCACAGGCTGCCTGGCCCTGTCCTTGTCCCCTCTCCCCTGGATGCATTTATCTGCGCTGAGCCACAGAGCACACAGGCACCCCCCTTCCATTAGCCACTTACAAATGGGGCTTCCTTCCAGAAACAGATTTCTGCCTGAGGTGGTGTCGATTTTTCATGCACCAAAGCGATGGGGGGAGAGGGTAGAGAACAGGTTTATGGGGTCTCAGAGCCGTGGCTGGTTCTGCCCGGGCAGGGAATCAGGATGAAGGGAGATGGCTCATCGGGAGGGAGGGAGGTGGCTCCGGGTCTGCCGGGGGCGCAGGAGTGGCCACACCACAGAACCCACCACCAAATACAGGGTCTACATTAAAAACACCATAAAATCCTCTGAAGTCCTTGTAAGATCCTGTTTGCTTCAGGTAAATAAAGATACCACAAAATTGAGACTTTGTACTTTTAAATCCACCCCAGCAGCTGCCGCTTTAGGAGGAAGCCAGCGCTCTGCATCTCACACTATTCCCCCCCCCCAAACCTTCTTTTTTCAGAAGTGTTTAGAAGTGTTGACAGAGTATTTTAGCAGTAATATTCTCACCAATGATGTACCTTGACTTTTTTCAGTATTCACTGGAATATGTCTACACTATATCTCACCAGGAAATGTATTTTAGCCACCATTCTTGCTTTGGTGCACACATGCGGGTGTTTATCCATGTTATCAGTAAAACCTTCACAACTATTGAAAAGCCGGAAGCAGCTGACACAGGTTTTTTAAGAGCGAGGTTATTCTTTCAACACATCACTCCAGAACCCCAGGAGATGTTCAGCTGCCTGGTCAGAACGCTCAAAAATATTTTGCAGAAATATCTCTAAACTATATAAACCTTTTTATCGGCTTCCTGAAAGAAACACACTGGTGTGTTCCATGCTGCCCCCCAAACCCCAGTTATGCTCTATTGCAGCTCCTGGCCAACAAACCCTGATGACCACAATTCCATCACCACAGCACTTGCTCAGGGTCAGATCCTCTCTGGAGCAGGAGTAGCAGCCGGTGCTGTTCCTTGTCCTTGAAAGCAAACCCTGCGGCTGCCCAGCTCTGATCTCCACTGGCAGACAGGCCACAACCTGGGGTGCTGCCTCGGGGTCCCTGCCCACCCTGAACACTGGGAGCCCCTCATGATCCTGCCACCCTCAGTCAGCATCCACAGGGCCTGCAGAGGAAGCGCCGTTTGCAGGGAGGCAGGAGCTGCTGCCAGCCCCGTTTCCCAGAAGGACCGGATCCGAGTGCTCTGAACAGCCACTGCCACGGAGACCAGCCTGGGAACAGCAGCCAGGATGCAGCAAGAACAACCTTCTCCACAGGAACACCACAACCTCCCCTGCACCAGCCACAGCCTGGCTGCCCTGTCCTGCCCGGGCCGGGCTCACCCCCCTCCTGGGAGCTTTTCCCTCTGCAGACGGGCACAAAGGCTTCAGAACACAGCAGTGGTTAAACCATCCTAATTAGATCAATCTTGACTTCGGCATCAGCGGGGTGGAATACAGATTAATCTGTTCCGTGGCTGGCACTGGCAGCTGCAGCAGCAGGAGGTCCTGTCACATCAAGCCACAACATTACCCTCCTCTGCCTTTATTATACCCCCCCTTTATTTTTTTGCATTTCCTTCCATCGGAGACCTGCCTCACAGCCCACTCCCCTGCAACACTGGAGCAGAGGAAGCCAACATGCTCCTGGGCACAGGGGACAGCAGGATATCCTGGTGAATCCAGCAGAATTCACTCCAGAGCCTTCTGTCTTGTGCAGAACTTTCCGGATAAAACGCAGAGCAGGGAAGTACCAGGGGAAACAGAAAAGCCAGTTCTCTCAGAAACTTCTCCCCCTTCCTAATGACAAGACTCTGCAGTTCACGTCTTTGCTGGGAAACATGGATAGAGCCCCAGCACATCCCAAGGACCAGAGCCAGGAAGGAGGATGCTTGCACCAAGGCCACACTGCCAAACCCCCCGCCAGGACCCGGTGTGCATCCCTCCTAGCACAGGTGGGAAGTGTACATCCTCTCCACAGCAGCACTGCAATACTGAGAGGTGACCTCAGGAGTTTCTCCTTGTCATGGTTCAAGCCCAGCTCGTAGCTCAGCACCACGCAGCCATTCACTCACTAACTAAACCATCAGCGTGCTACCAGCATTGTTCTCAGACTGAAGCCAACACACAGCACTGCACCAGCTACCAGGAAGGAGAAAAATAACTGTCAGAGCTGAAGCCAGGACACTCCTCCATGCAGCTTTGGGATGCATGTGAAGTGCATTCCGACAGAGGGTTTCAGTACAGCCTGTAAAGCTGCAGCAGACTGACTGCTCCTGCTCCTCACTAGTGTTGGTGGAACCAAGGTCATGCTATTGCAGTGGTGCAGCACCTAACAAGCTTACCTGTTTCCACATGCATCAATAACTGCATTCTAAAAAAGTAACCCTCTCAAGTATCACCGTATTTTACCAAGAGAAACACTGACAACAGTAAAACACTGACGTTACTGATGGGTAAAGCAGGACCTGGAAGGCCAGGAGAGCTCCATGCACAATGCCCCTGGTGAGCTGGACCCCACCATCACGCTAAATGTAGAACAAAACTCTTTCTATCGACTGAGGAAGTTTATTTTTGTGGTGTTCCTGCAGCAGGGAGCTCTAATTGAGACAAATCTAACTCTGCCCTCAGCATCATGGCTTACTCCCATCAGATTCCTGTCGCGTTCTGGAGGCTTGACGGTAAAATAACAAATTGGCATAATAAAGTTCTGTTTAAACAGGCTGATGCCTTCCCCGGGTACCCACTTCAGCAGAGCACCGAATGACAACATTTCCCCGTGGCTGGCAGAGGGGCCGGTTCAGAGATAACTCTTCATCAGGCCATTTTTCTGTGCCTGCCTTCTCACTGGTCCATGCCCAGGGAGCTGGTTCTGCAGCAGGTTCATTCCAGGGGCGTTGCTGCCTGTCAGCATCTGCTACGCAGCAGCAGGAGCACATTTACTAAGAAATGGGTTTCTGCTGTTGTTGTTTTACAGAAGCGTACAGCTGAGTATCGCCTTGTTGTGAGAGGGAGAATGGACAAGAAATCACAGTGAGAGGAATTCTCATTTGGAAATTGGCTGAACTAATTCTCAGGTTATCAAATTAAGCATTCCTAAGTAAACCTGACATCTAAGTCAAGAGAAGGCATCTAAATGAAGATGAATTGGACAAACAGCCTTTTATATTTCATTAGACTCTCCAAGTGGACAAAACTAGACTGGAAATAACCATCCTGAGGAAGCAAAGAAAAACCTCCAGCCCATGGAGCAGGTCACGACTGCTGCACTACAGACACCCCTACAGAGGGAATTTGTGTTTTCTCCATCTTTAGCTCACTGAGACTGTTCCAGAGTTTCAGGCTCCAGCTCCAAGAGCTGCTGCAGCCGCGGGGACATGTAGACGAGCTGATCTTCAGCTCTGCAGCAGCAGCTTTTGGCACAGACACAGAGCATCCCCTGCATTCAGAGGTCACTCCAAAACCATAATGTCAAACCTTACCCTGTATTTACACCAGGAACAACCCAGAGCCCGGCTCCTGTTCACTCCCTGCCATCACACACCAGATACTTACTCTCTGCAACTCCAGCTCAGCTCAGCAAGGCCACCAGGTTCCGGCAGGGTCCCCACAAGAACACCTCAACAAGACAGATCTCACCATTTCACGTGTCTGATGCAGCCCCCAGGCTCATGCTGGCCAAGAGCACATCTTCCCCACAGTTTGGCCTCTACCTTTCTACAGATGCTTACCACAGGTAGCACTGTTACACAACCATGTATTACTGACCACACAGAGAAGCCAGAAGCAGCAGCTTCAGCCACACTGTGCTGCACAATACCTCACGCACAGTGCTCAGTCTCTGGCTTGACACCCCTGGGTCACAACCAGAGGGATCACAATCCTTCACCAGGAGGATTGCCAGGAGCAGTCAGTCTCAGAAACCAACACCAAGCATTGGGCGGAATTAGACATTTCTGCAGTGATACCTGTGGCTATTTCTCCACCTCCACCCGCTCCACACAGCTCCGAGGAGCCCCAGGGACTCCCACCACCATTCCACAGCCCCGCAGCGCTGCTGTGCCCAAGCCATGCTGCTCGGCAGGCTGGCTCCCTCCAGGGCTGGGACCTGGGACACTCTCAGGTATTTGGACCCCACAGACCTGGGAAAACTCTAAACCATTTCTGCCATCAACTGAAAATATTTCTGGTTTGAGCTGCTTCACTGCCCCAGGAAGAGGGAAATTGCTTCAAATGAGATTTTTCTCCCAAACCCAACCCCCTCAGACGTAGATCATCGTCTGTACAAAGTCAGGCAAAACTGAGATGCAGATAACACGTACGCAGCCAGACACCACCAGCCTGAGCTCAGGCTCAGATCATCCATAAAGATAGTTAAGAATTTTTCCCTCTCTTGTTTCCTAATTACACAGTGTATATAAAGCATAAATATGTGCAGTTTGGGTTTAAATTGTTCCCAGGCTCCCTAGAGGAAAATAATTTTTAAACAGTGACAGTGTTTAAAATGGAGCTAACCAGCACTGACACCTTTACAGGAGCTTTTAAAGAGTGAAAAATGCATTACAAAAGAGATATTTTTATCAAATTTAATTTGGATTATAAATTTCTTTAATAAATAAAGCTCACCAAGCCACAGTGAGAGAGGTTTTTTTCCACCAGGGTATTTATTATTTTGCCACATCCGGAACACCACCCTCAAGACAATAAAATAAACAGTATTTTATAGACCGACTCTTGTGTTAAAAGCAACACTACCATAAAGACAGACAAGGGGAGTATTTTCCTACCACTACCAGACACCCTTCCAGAACAGGGAAGATTCTGTGCTCTATGGACAAAGAACTGGATGAGCAGAGTGTCCCTGCAGTGAAGTACAGCACGAGCTGGTGCGGTACCAGTGGTGCTGCTGCTGCTGTAGGTAAAGAACACCCAGAGAGGCAGTGGGGGGACAGCACCAGTTTCAAACCTCTCTGCCAGAGCCATCCTGTACCTCACCCAGCGCTGAAGCTCTCATCAGGGCTGTCCTCTAAGCAGCTAAAATTAGGCTCCAGGGCCACGAGCCCATTAAGGACCCCATATTTGCAGTGGGACCGGGTGTGTGACCCACCAGCCTTACAGTGGATCTGTTCACAGCACAGCTCCTTACAACCACTTTGAATAAATACTGAGGCCTCTGCTACAAAGCTCTCCTGGTTAACCCTGTAAAGGAACCTCTCCTCCATTGGACACATACGTGAACGCTCTCCTAGCGGGAGAGGATCATGCTAATTAATTTTTAATGTGTATTTTTTAATCACTGGGAACACCGGATGAAGTTTTTACAGAGAAGAGTCACAAGACTGACTGCTGCATCCTTTTTGATAAACAAAGAAAAAGGAGAGCTGCAGAAGGAAGTGCATTTCTAGGATAACACAGCACAGAGGCCATCGACTCGGTCACACCAGACCCACACCACTGTGGGCACCACGGAGCTGACAGCACTGCTCCGAGCACAGGGAATTGCTGGGCAACATTTAGGAAAGTAAAACCACACTGTGCTGCCTGGACACGTGTTGGGACAATGGCTACAAAAGGCTCTGGGGACCTGCAAAACGTCTCAATTAAGTCCCCTCCTTAAAAATTCAGGGACTCACCTGCCCAGCGATGCAAAACAAAGAAAATTGGACTTACTGCCCCAGCCTTTTAGGGAGAGTTTATTTTAATAAAGCCAATTTCTGGCCTCATCTTGATGGCCTCCATTTCTTCTGAATACTAACGAGATGGAGGCACAGCACAGAGGTTGGATGCACGGATCGTGCTGGTCTCCCCCAGGGCAGATTTGCCTCTTCTCCTATCACAGACTCAGGCAGGATCCAGCCTGTCAGAGCTTCCAAGGCTGCTGCCTGATCCTCACAGGAGCCAAGGCTGCACCCAGGTATCATCTGCAGTCTCAAAACAAAGCAGATGAGACAGAGTTTAACCCACTTTCCCAAACTGAAAATTTAAGTCAATGACATGAGCCAGAGGCCCAGCTCTCTGCTCAGAACCTCATGTTCTAGCTTGAGCTTTCTCTCAGCTGGATTAAGCAACCTCCTTTTCATGCTGCAAATGAACACTTCCAAACACCCTCTAAATCCACCATCTGAGCACAAGTGTGTATTTTATCACCCAAACCCACAATTTTGTTACACAGCCTAGACAGACCAAACCCATCCCTGCCACTTTATCACATAAACCCCAGAGCACACAGCAGCATTCTGTCCCCACCATTATCTGTCCAGGACAAGGCACATGGTCAAGAGAGAGACGGCAGCAGGCCCACCTCCACGGCTGGCTCCGCCCCAATACAGTAAAGAGCGAGTCGGCCGCGGCCCCCCCTCCACGGCTGCCGCAGCCTCACCACGCCGCTGCCGTCGGGAATGGCGTTACCAGCTTTTAGCTGTGGTGCTCTGAACGAATGGCACCAGCTCACCATGGGCAGAGTTTTCTGGAAGAAAACAGGCACTTCCTGGATTTGTGTCTCCTTTTCCTCACCAGCCTGTCCGTGGGGGGAGCAAAGCAAGCAGATGCTCTGCAGCAAGGTCCACAGGAGGGGACACCTCCTGCCTCTGCTTTGGGGAACACCCAAGCTGCGAGCACAGCACCAGAGCAGGACACGTGGGGTTAGAGCTCCTGTTTTGTTGCCATTTCCTTCCATTTTCCCTTGGTTTGCTGCAAGAGTTGAGGGTGGATACAAGACAAGCCCGAGACCCCCGACACCTCTTCAGCTTCTGACAACATTCACCCTTTACAGAACTGACACAAAACCTCAGCATCGCTGGCAGTATATCAAATTTATCCCAAGCCACGTGGCTCAGGGAAGTCCAGAGGAGGCCAGGAAGATGCTCCAAGGGCTGGAGCAGCTCTGCTCTGGAGCCAGGCTGAGAGAGCTGGGCTGGTTCAGCCTGGAGAAGAGAAGGCTCCTTAAGGGGACACCTTAGAGCAGCTCCAGTCCCTAAAGGGGATACAAGAAACCTGGAGAGGGGCTTTGGACAAGGGATGTAGGGACAGGCCAAGGGGAATGGCTTTAACCTGCCAGAGGGGAGACTGAGCTGAGCTCTGAGGCAGAAGCTCTTCCCTGTGAGGGTGCTGAGGCGCTGGCACAGGGTGCCCAGAGAAGCTGTGGCTGCCCCATCCCTGGCAGTGTTCAAGGCCAGGCTGAACACAGGGGCTTGGAGCAACCTGCTCTAGCAGGAGGTGTCCCTGCCCATGGCAGGGGATTGGGACTAGGTGAGCTTTAAGGTCCCTTCAACACAAACCAGTCTGGGATTCTATGATGATTATCAACAAAATGGAGAACATGACATTACCAGAAGGAGAAAGGACTGACCCTAGATTCAGTTCAGCATAAGGTCCTGTGGTTAAGACTCCACAGATTTCTGTTAAAATCAGTTTTCCAGGGAGAGAGGGGGAAAAAATAGAAAAAGGGAAAAAAAAACCCAGCAACTTCAAAAGCATGCAGTTTATTTCTGCAATGCTTGATGTTCATTGAGTCACACTTCAGTGCTTAGAGCCATGAAAACACTGCTTTTGAGGTGACATTTGTAGTTGCCTCATTACTCTTTTCAAAGGAGTTTTGCATCAGAGTCAGAGCTTCAAACAACAGACCCTACAGGAGTAAAATAACTTATTACCAGCACATGAAATGGAATTGCCAGAAGTGCTGAGACCAGAAGGAGGTGGTGAGCGTGTTCCCAGCAGCAGGAGGAGCCCTGAAGAGGCGGTGATGTGCTGCTCCCTCCCTGCAGGCACTTATCAGACACTCACCATCCATCCACCTCCACCACAGCAATAAGGAGGATCTGAAGCGCACCCACCTTCGTGTTCTTTTTCAGTTGTTCCAACTTTCTTTATCTTTTTGGGTGACTTCATGAAGAGAGGAAAGATGGTTCTCAAGCCCAGAATGTCAACGAACTTGTGACAGTTGTCGGTGCCCTCCGGTCCGATCATGGCGTGGTCCAGCACCTTCAGGGCACTGCTGCGGGAGATCTTCTTCTCTCTGAAAAGAGGCAGGTTGAGCTTTTCAGGGACATGAGGAGCTTTGGATCACACTATGTTAATGAGACAGCAGGGAAAGGGAAATGAGTATGACAAGGGAAGTACAAAGAGTTTGAGCACAAGCTCTATGCAAGATTTTCTTCAAGCCAAACCGTTATATTGACAAATACTCTTCTCAGAACTGTGGTTGAGGATATTCTCTTGGTTATTTCTTTTTTAATGTCTTTTATTTATTTTTATTTTCTATTTTATTTTTATTTCATTTTATAGACTTTACTGCTATGGTTTTATTTTCTTATTTATTTCCTGGCTAGGGAAGAAGTTATTTCCTCACCTCCCTGCAAACAGCAGCACAAAGCAGCAGTGGAGTTGGGCTGGGTACACAAGGCACATACTGACACACCAGGAAGATCAGGATTTAGATCTAGCAATAACTCAATTCAATAAGGGAGTAAGCTTGGTAAGCAGAGCTTGGTGGTCAGTTGTAATGAAGAAAACCCCATCTCCAGAAATCACGTGTGGAGGGATGAAGATAGATTCTGGGCTATTCTGGTCTAATGCAGGTTCAGAATGCTGATGCAACTTGGCTGGTTTGGAAATGATCTCAAGCTGTCCTGTACCTCTTAGACCAGAAACTGAGGAATTTATAATTCATCCAGAGGAAAAACTAAAACATCCTGGGCAATGGGAAGGGAAAAGCAGCTGCTTCCCTTCACGAACCCCTCACAACTCACAATCTGAAAAGCCATGTATTAACACCCTGCCCAGAGGGGAGCCGCTGTGCCCAGACAGCCGCAGGGCTCCCGCTGGCACTGAGCGGTGCCGAAAGCACCGTGTGTGGCTGGGAGCCGGCGCAGTAGCGAGTTCAACCCCAGAGTGGTGCAGGAGGGAGCTCAGCACCACTCCTCCCCTCCACGGAGAGCTAAAAATAAAGTACTTCTGAGGCCAGATGATATGAGAAATGTTTTCAGGGGAAGCAGCTGCATATTGATCAGCATTTAGGAAGGTTGCACAGAGCTGATCTCTGGAATATTCATTGGTTTAAGTTCAGGCTTTTAGAGATCAATAGCTGCTTGACTGGACTGTCTCGAGTTGATTTTATTTGAAATATTTATTCTGCCAGAGGGCAAGCAGTTTATCTTGGTCTCATCTGTGCTTATTGACGTAACTTTCAGCTGCACACGCATTCAAAGGCAAGTACGGGTGAGTGTCACCAGACGGAACGACCCCAGTCTTCACAGGGAACCCCAAGTTACAACTTTATTTGCTAACCATTGTTTTCCTCCTTTTAATACCCTTACATCTAAGAGAACTCTCTTGGTGCATCTATTATTTCAAAAAGAAGAGGCAAGAACATTAATTGGACTTTCCACATTAGCATAACACCATCTTCCACTTTCTAAAATACCAGATTTCCTGGAAAAGTGCTGCATAAAATGGTTCCATTTAATTAACCAGAAGATTTAGTAAAGAGACAGTCTAAGTTTCCATGGGGTCATTGGGAACAGCAGGACAAGAAAACATAAAAGGATTTTAATGTCATAAAAAACATACCCTGAAATAGCTGGAGCTGAGCTCTGGGGAGCTGGATGGAGCTGCCTGTCCTCACCCTGGCTTGGCTGCACAGAGCAAATGCTTTTCCAGCGTCAGGAAGAGCCAGTGAGCAGCCACAGAGCCAAACCCCACTGCCCGAGCGATGTACGTGGCCACGAGCTCCCTCAGCCACGTCCATCCCTGTGCACACTCACGTGCCTTCAGTTACTACCTGAAAGCCACACATCATTTTCCATATGCAACAGAGAGTCTTCCTGACACATCCCCCGGGAACCGAGGGGCTGCTTCTCCTCCAAACCTTAACACAATTTAACAGCAAAAGCAATAAACTTCCTGTCAGCGTGCGAGGAGCTGACACTACATGCCTGGGCTTCTCTCTTGGCTCTGTCAGGTAAACTGCAGTTAGGTTACCAAGGCTGAGGAGCTCTTGATCTAAAAAGTGCTTCCTGACCTAAAAAAATTAAATTGAATTTTATTCCATGTGACATTTATAAACTTTCCACTGGTGGCTCCCACCTTGACAAACCATCTTATGTTTTATAAAGACACTTCATAAAATAAACCAGTCTCCATTGCTGCAGAGATGCAGCTCAAATAATGATATACACGCATGCTCTCCCCCTCCTCCAAAACCTCCTGCTTCATTTCTGCTGTCACAGGCTTCATCCCTGCTCAATCTGGTGTCTCTTCTATGTGCCTGCTTGATGAAGCTCTGCTCCCAGTCCCCCCCAGCACCCCGAGTCAGGACACTGCTTGCTATGGACATGCACGTGAAGCCTATCACCCACACTGTGCTCATTTTCAGGTGTTACCACCATCTCATCATAAAACAGTAGAAGCTCTCACAACACAACATCCCCTTGTGCTGTTGGCCACACATTCCAAGGCTCAGCATAGCAGCAGACAGCCCTGTTTCCGTTACTGCCCACAGGAATCTCTCAAGCCTGCTACCCGCTCAGCTGAAAGATGCTCAACTTCCCTGCAGGTCTGTGGGCAGGACCATTATTAACAGAACAAGCTGGGCAGATGGATCGGGCAGCACTTGATACAGAATGCTGTGTTCTTGAAGACAGTAACAGAGATCCCAGCCTGATAACTTTATTCTCACACAGCTTATCTATCTCCCATCACGTCAATAAACTTTCAACTTTGCTTATTTGTCCTTTCATCTGCACAGACCATGGTACAATGATTAACCACCTTCAAAGTAACACCAAAACATAACAGATCTCTGCCCCAGCCTTCAGAGGACACCGACAGGAGAGAAAAATAATTGTGCCTTGTTTGTGGGCGAGGTGGTCAATCACAGCAGCGGGGCTCTGCTCGTCTGCCTTGGTTAGCAGGAGGGATCGAGCCGACACAGGAGCACAATACTCCCGGGCAGCTCCAGATGACAGGTACCACAGCTCACTCCCCAGGTACGACACCAGCCTGCCATTACCAGAGCAGAACTGCCCAAGAAAAACTGAGCACCTGAAAGAGCTTTTAAGCATCCACCAAGAACACTCCAATGATAACACTTCTAAACAGAATTAATAGCCATCTAATTTCTTCTGGATATTAAAATACGTAAAAACCCCACAAGCAAACACGCAGCAAATCCTTGCAGTGTCAGTTCTTGGGCACTTGGCTTTGTTCGGTGGTTTGAAAGCTCCAGAAACATGCTGTGTCCTCACCAAAGCGCTCTTTATTCAAACAGCCAGATAAGAGCTTCAGCTCTTCTAATCTAGGTCAGGTAAGCAGAAGAGTTAAAATAAACAAAGCCATCAACTGTCAGTATAGCCCGTGCATATGGGCAGCCGTGGTAGAAGCTTCTAGAAAATATTCCATGTTGCTTTTTTTCCCCACTGTCACTTTACCAACCCCATCCGTAGGTCCCAAAGCATCCCAAAATTGAGGTCTTGGACACTCCTTCATGAGACAAGCTGTTGCTGGCAGTTCAGTCATGCTTTGTCCCTCCTAACCCCTCTGCAACTACTGGTGGGGAGAAATGCATCCAGGGAGAAATTTTCCTCTTGTCCTAATTTTCCAGCTGGGATCCTGGTGCAGAGAGTGGTAAACAGCAGAGCCCAAAAACGGGGAAAAAGCCATTAAAAACCAAATGCTGATCCCACCCACATGGCAAAGAACTCCAAGTCATTAGTTCTGCAAGGCTGGCTTAGCAGCTTAGCGCTCGGGCAGGGGGAGCCTTCCCTCTCGGTCTTAGTTTTGGAGCTTTTCTTTAATTAGCCGCACAAAAACCAAGTGTTCCTGTTTGAATAATCCACGTTTGGGTCTTTATTCAGTTCCTTGCTGCTGCACATGAGCCAGCCACGCACTGCAGGAACACAGCACCTCATGGTGGCATCTGACAACCAGCCCCCACGGTCTGGAGGAAGCCAGGCAGCAGAGAGGACACCAGGCAGGACGAGGCAAGGTTTGAGGAGGAGCCCTGGTGACTCATGGTGTGACAGAACACACTAGAGAAACAATACTTGTGCCCACTTCACAAAACCAGGTTTTGTATCAATACCCACAAAAATTCACCAGCTTGGAGGACACACAGCACTGCAAAGCTTAAACTGGCAACAAAAGGAAAAACATTTTCCCTAGAGACATCCAAAGGTTCTCCCTCACAGGGGTCTTAAATCCTCAGGGGATTAGTGGCCTGACCCATGGCATTCTTCCATCTGGGTGTCTACCCCACAGATCTGCGCAGTTACTTTCATGAGGCTTTGCAGTAACCCCTGTTCTTAGGAAACAGGGCTAAAGACAGAGTGGAGCTTATGTCTGAGAAGGTCTGACTTACATGCTGGAAAGACAGACAGAAACCCACAGCTATCGAGCCACAACATGTGTTGGTATGTCAAAGGCAGGCAAGAAAACCACAGTTATGTGGGTACCTGAGCATCAGGTTCATCAGCTGTAGACCCTCGCCCTTCAGGAATCGATCCCGGTTGGAGCTGAGCATTAGGCAGGAGCAAAGGGAGTCAAACAGGTTCTCCATCATTTCCTGTTCTTCAGCTGTACCAGGGTTGTGTCGTTTAAACACCTGCATGACAAAGAAAGAAGAATTACCTCAAATGGAGGGCCCAGTGTGGTGCACACTGTTGTAGAGCACATGAACATCTTCTGTCACAAGCCCTCAGCATTTGATGTGCCCAAGCTAGCAATTGCACCCATCATCAGTGCACTGCCTCTTGTAACTCTCCTGCCCCTCTACTGCACTGACCCCATACTGACCAATGTGCAACTTAAAGACCACACAGGCCTTCAAAAGGAAAGGCAAATTCACCACTGGCAGTTCACAGAAGCACATGGATAAGCTCATTACCAGAGAACCCCCAGACAAGTCACTCACAGACGATGCCACCAGTAAACAGAAAGCACAGCAGTGCTTCAGCATCTCCTGCCTGCCAGGGCAGTGCTACACCCAGAGCCTGCTCCACCTCCTCCCACCCAGCCCAGGAGCCTCTGATGCAGAGAGGACGTGTGTGAATTACTCACAGATAACTGCTGAAGCAGCACATCGATCCCATCCAGCTCCCCAAGCAATTCTCTGTTGTCTAGACGGAGGTGGGGGGAAGGGGAAAAGAGAGAGAAAAATGAAGCTAACTGTCAGATTTTACAGCCATCTAACACTGATACATCAGCGAGCAAAATCGATACGGCCTGACAGAGTACAAAAGCCGCAGAGAAGGAGAGGATGCATGAGGCTGCAGGAGAGCACAGCACAGGAGGAGCTCAGCAGAGGATGCCAGAGGCAGAGGAGTGCTGGTGTGGTTGGAGAGAAGCCTGGCTCCCACCTTACCAGGATATTGATACCAGGACACATCTCACCATCATTATTCTGGAGCAGAATAGCCAGCACCTCGCTGCAGTACAGCTTGTTGGCGTCAAAAGGCATCTTCGCCTGTTGGTGAAGGAGGAACAAGAGACCCATCAGGGCACGCCACCGCTTCACTGATTTCAAGAACACATTAATCAAATCACCAAGTGCCTGAGCAACACTTCAACCAAATACAGTGAGAATTTTGCAGTATGCCCGTGACAAAGCAGCAGTAACTGCCTCCAGGCCGGGGGTGATGGGGTGCCTGTGTGTGCTCACACACACACGTAGGAACAGCAGCTCGGATGCCTCCCGCTGTCCTACATGAGGTTGACCAAGTTGGCTCAAACCCTGCAGGCACAGTATAACCATGAGGCTATATGAGCATGCGGGGCTCATCCCTATTCTGAAAGGCTGCACTGTCACCAAAACCTGAAATTCAGACCATACCTCACAGTGACACAAAATAGAAACTGCAGAGTTCCGGACAAGGGTCACAATGTCCCAGCCACTAAACACGAAGTGGGTTTAGCCTGCACAGTCACAGCACCTCCATTTCATATGTTCCCTCCATAACTCAAAGATGTTAATAAAAATCATAATGAAACCAAACTGCTGAATTTGAAGAAAAAGCAAAGCACCTTGAGCACCACATCCTGAACACCCTGAACATTCGTTTTTGGTGGCATCACACTGAAGAATCCAAGCTGTGGTTATTCTGCTGTCCACAGTGCCTCAGCCTTTCAGCTGCAGCGCAATCACAAGGCAGGCAGCAGCACAGACCTGCCTGGACTAAAATTAACTTCACTTTTAGGGTTTTAAGCAAAAGGAATACAATTATGCTACTACCTGTAATGAGAAATTATAGGTTACTTCTACTAGCAAGTACATGAGGTGCACAGAGGGGTATCTGCACACTTAAAAAGCTGATGGAGTATTTCTGTGACTCAGAGGCCTTTTAACCATAAAGACATTTAAGTATAGAAGTGCCAAGGCCTTACTAACAGAGTTAGGAAAGGTCAGAATCCATTTGCTAAGTTTCCCTCACTAGCTCTGCGAGACAGCTGAACTTTCCATTCCTTTCCTGCAGGATTTTCCAGGGAATGTTTAGGCATCTCTTCACACAGGACAGAGTTAAACCTTGCAGCTCACTGCCATAGGATGCAAAGAGTATTGAAAAGTAATTTTGAATTCAAAAGGCAATTTGAGCAGTTCAAAGAAAAAGCCACCACCAGCAGTTAAACAAAGGCACCACTTGAAACCCAAAGAAATGTTAGAAACATAGGAAGCAAAGGCATAAAGTGTTCTGTATTAGTCCCCCCGCTCATGGTTGTCAGCTTTTATATCCCTACAAATCTCAGCCAAGGACCAGAAATCCACCATACAGGAATCAAACCAACAGAAAAAAGACACCTTCTGCTATAAGACATGAAGACAAGACACAGTCATGTCATATTTAAACTAAACCACAGAGAACAAACCCCAGATTTTGCCTTACTGTCCTTAACTTGGTTTCTGCAACATAAGCACACAAAACTGGCTTATTTTACACTGTGCTGCAAGCTCATACTAACTGGTCTGGAGAAGGAAGGTGGGTGCTGGCAGTTCTGGCACTACTGGTGCTTGAGCTAGGAATGTGGTGGTACTCACACATAGAGCCAACTCCTTCAGTTTTGCTGGTTCACAGTAAGTCAAAAGGGACACGTCCCAATTTGAGGCAAGGTTTGAATTCACTGTATTCACAAGTGTTAGAACTTACCACAGAGATAACCTACACAAGCAGAAGAGCCTACAACAGACAGTCTTGGGCCTTTCATGTTCTGCTAAGCACGGTCTGGATCACAGCAGCTCCTAGACCAGCAGCCAGTTGACTTTTATTGGGCTATATCCCAAACGACAGAGGAAGAGAAACTCACCTTCAGCCTCTTGAGCAGCCACTGCATGAGGCCCTGCTGCGCAGCCTCTGTGCACATCTCCGGCCGGAACTCTGCCATGTTCTCAACAATGGCTGAAAAGAAGGACACAGAACATGGGTTCCCACCAGCAGCTCAGCTCTGGCCTGCACCAACACTGCTTTGTGGGGCTGCGCCGCTCTCCTCACACTTACATCTTACTCACAAACCACCTTTGTGTTGAGTGAGACTCAGGCTCAGGTGTACAATACCCTCTGTTTTCACTGCCCACACAGCCCATCCTCAGTGTGACACCAGCTCCTGCTGGAAGAAGCCCAGGACACTTCCCTTCACCCCAGCAGCAATTCTCATTGCTCAGAACTAAACTAATAGTAACAGCAGCAGTAAAACTTCCAAACCTCATGTTTCCAGTCACTCTCATTCTTCCAGTTCTCAGGAGATGGCAATCCCAAATTATGGTCTAAATGCTAGTAACACACACACACTGCAAAGCAGTTACTGTGTTGTGCTGAGATTGGGGAGAGGTAATGATGTACTTATAAGAAATGCAAATGTTTTACTACCTGGAAGTTAAATATATTGCTAAGACATAAACAGCTCTTGTAACAGAGTGAGTAGAGCTCACAGTACACACAGGGGCCGTGGAGCTCTCCTGGTGCAGCTTGAGCCACACAGCCACTTACTAGTAGCCAGGCACCAAGCACTGGCACAGGGGATAAGGCTTTGCCACGAGCTGCAGTTGTGCTTGAAAAGCTCCACTGGGTCCTCAATGGTAGTGTTGGACAATTCAAAGGGGAAAGAGGGACGGAAAGAAGGGGAGGGATAACCCACCCCCTTTGTACAAAATAGAGAAAGAAGTGACAAGCAACAGCCACTTACCCAGTGTGTTGTGGACACCATCAGCTTCCTCCTTCACACTTTCATCCAGGCGCTCCAAATTCTGGACCAACAAGGCCACAACCTGGCCCTCTACCTAAACACCAGGGCAAGAGAAACACATAAGAGATGACTGAAAAAGAGAGGAAGATGAAGGAGAAAGAATGGGGGCGGGGGGGTGGTTTATAATAAAAATCAATAAGCTGTACTGAAGCATCCTGACTGGCACAAGCAGAAGGAATTAACAGTCTTGCTCTAAAATCTCAGAGGAAACAAAGGAATCACTGAGTAGATCTGCTGCTGTGTTTGCCCTAATTAAACAAACAACTTTTGTGTTTCAGATTAAACAGGAAAACATCTGGAGGAAAACATGCACCTTGTCACAGTCTTCTTTCCTGAACCAGCCTAATTGATTCATAATCCCTCCCAGTGCTGACTGGGAGGTGCCATGGCCAGGCTGGCAGCTCTCTGAGCAGCTCTGTTTCCACTGGTTTGCCTGTATTTTTGTTCTATTTTCCACCTTAGAGGGTACAAAAACCTGAAGGACCAATGCTCACACACACAGCCTCAAATCCAGAAGCTGAACGGTCACCAGTGGAAGCCTCCCTTGCACTTAGGTCCAAGCAAGGTGTATGTTTCAAGCAAGCCAACGAAACGCAGAGATTAACAGCAGGAGCAGGAACCCACATCTGCAGGTGGAGCCTCCTTCCCAAGAAGCCAGCACAAGAAATGTGCTTTTAAAGCTGCAATTGGGCAGAGTCCGCCCTGACATTGGGTAATTTTGCATTGCAGATATAAGCTTGGGAGAGTTAAACAAAATAACATTTCCCATTCTAACTACTAGCTTTGGGCCCAGTGGACACATGGAAGTAGTACAAGCATCAGGTGGTGTGGAAGGGAGTGCAGCAATCTTCCCAGATCCCTACAGCATTACACCTACTTTCTTTAAAGAAAGCAAAAGTCATCTCAAAAGCAGATACCTAAAAATTTCTCCAAGATATGTCTGGTCTGTTTCTTTCAAAGAGGACAATAAAGCTTCTAGAACTTGGCTATTATCAGTGACAAGGAAAACAAAGAAGGAACTTCACTTGATTTACTACCTCCCTGCACATTTTACAGAAAACATCTTCTCCAGCAGCCCCTCTCCATCTCATCAGCCAGCAATCTTCCCACGAAGGAGAGTAATTACAAGAGCCCAGAGGGCAGCTGGAGGAACACAGCTCGGGGCCACCGTCATTAACCTCTGGAGGTAACACTACAGTGACTGGACACGGAGGGAGGACTGAGAACAGAGCAGCCAAACAAAGGAAAACCCCTAATTCCCACTCTTCCAATTTCAACATGATAGTTACAGAACAAGACACAGCCACAGTGATTCAGACATGCAGCACTCGCCAGCAGGAGCTGCCCAAAGGCAGGAGCCATGAATCTCAGGTTTTGGCGGGCATCACTTCTCCAGAGGGCATCCTCCCCCTGCACCCAGCCCAGATGCCAGGAAAAGGGGAAGTCCTCCGCCACAGAGGCCAAGAGGCACTCCAGAGGGTTAACCAGGCTGGAGACTGAGCCATGCAGCCTCTGCTGCACAAAGGTAGTTTTCTGGGGTTGTCTATTCTCTACACCAAAAAGGATCATGGCCTCTGAGCCCTCCTCCACCTGCAAAACGCATTAGCCCTGTTACATGAAAATTTGTACTTCTTGGTAGGAAAACCACACACCCTCCCTATAACAAGATGTCCCAGCTCAAGCACAGATCTGAGGTTTGAAACAAGAGTTCCTGGGTAGAAGACAACCGACTCCTGTGCAAGAGGCCAGGCTGAAAGCTCACGGTGGCCCCATTGTACTTCAGATAAGCATCAGAGCCCTGCCACAAACTTCGGCTTTTCACGGGTGAACAAGTCACCCCTTTCCCACAAGAAGGAAGAAAAAAAGCAAATGAAGCTCAGCAGGACACAGTCCAAGTCACAAACATCACTTAATGCTCCCTCCCCACAGGAAACAATCTCCAGCCTACGCAGGTTTTGCAATATAAATATGTTCCTTCCAAAAAAGAGGGCTCCAGCAGACATCAAGCACTGAAATTCCTGGAGTTCACAACTTACCAGAGCGTCTATGAGGACTTCAGCTCCTTCTTCACTCTCATGGAGAGTATCAATGTCTGTAAGCTCTTGAAGCAAGTCTACCACTGCTATGGAAACATGTGCCAGGCATTAAGGACAACTGACAGAAGGGCAGACACATTTAATATCCAAGGCAGATTGCTCTTGGTCCAGCATGCTCCCAACACGATCCAAAACAAGTGGTAATACTGCAGCAGTGGGCACAGGAAAATGAGAGCCAAGAGCACAGAGACTGCATCAGCACAGTCCTCAAAAGCACCAAAGCCAGGGAATCCCAACAATTAGAATGATAAAGCCAAACGTGACTGTGCTCACTGCATCAGGCAATGTTACTCTTTCTTGATGATACTGATTTTTTCAGATCAAACTGGTAGCACTGGTGTAACAAGGGACCATCCTGCATTGTCGAGACTGAATATAAGCAGAGAAATGTTGGGTGTCCTGCTCTCAGCAATCTCCCCACTAACCCGACAGGATGCACCCAACACAGCAGTTGCAGAAGCGGAGCGATCCCCCTGCCCAGCCCGATGGGGACAGCACACTCCTCTCCCCATGGAGCTCATGGAACAGAACAGCTCCTGCCAGCCCCAATCCCACTCATTAACTCTGGGCTGCACAGCACAGCTCTGCTGTATGAGACACTCTGCACCTCATTAGTCCCACTTCCCTGTGCTCTTGGACACACTGATCAATCCTGCCCGAGCCCCGCTGAGGCAGAGCCAGAGATGCAGCTTTCGGCACATCCTCATCACAGCTCGGTGATGAATGTCTTTAGAGGGCCCAGGCCAAGGAACCAGCCTCCTGCTTGTGCATTTGCTCAGACACAAGCAGCAGCAGGAGAAACATTTTCATACATCTTTTCTTAGCAAGGTCTCTGTCATGACTTATCAAATCTCAGGAAAGACTCACAGAGAGCTGCCTGTCCCAGCCCCACGTAACCTGTGTGTAGGTGCTGCAGAAGACATGCATAAGCAAGACCACCACTGTCTTTATCCCCTCAACCAAGCCAAAGCTATCTGGGCAGAACATGTCTTGAAGGATAAAAGAGCCTCTTCAGAGGGAGCTCAGCAAAGAGCCCAGCAGGCAGAGGAGCTCACCCTGCCTCTGGGAGGGAGCTTCTGTGGAGGCTTCCAGTGAGAGTCTCTGCTGTCCTATAAAATTTAGGAGATAGAAAAGCAAAACCTCACTTGAAGCTTTCCTGTCTTTCATGACTAAGTCTTGCTGGTGATCATCTTTCATTCACATGCTGTATAAAACTGCATGAATCATTCAGCAGATTATTTGCTCTCCCTGGACATTGCTTTTGTCTCCTTGCATTAGACCCTCAAGCCACTACATTTAAATCACATCTGAAGAGCCATTTATTTAGTTTTCTCCTTGAAGAAGTCATTTTTAAAATCCTTTTCTATTTGTTTTAACAAAAAGTCGTTAGAAAACTTGAGCTGAATCCACTGAGTTTTGTCTAGATGCTTCACCCGACCGCATTTGTACCCCGTACACAAGCAGGGAGAGGCGTTGCTACAGCCTGCGTCCCGCTTCCAACAGATCTGAAAATACTTCAGCAGCTTTATAACAAGAAATACACTTTTCCCAGAATTGCAGCTCAGAGCCCAGGTTTCCACCCCTGCACTGACTGACAGGCAAGCTGCAAACCAATTAAAAAGAGTTCACAGTGGAAACCGTGCCAAGTCTTTGACAGCAGCAGTGACCCAAGGACATGGCTTTCCATGGCTGACAGGACACAGCAAGCTCCATTCCCGTGCACCCCAGCCATGGATCAGCTCCGTTATTCCAGAGTTCATCTCTTCCCTGTGAGTGAGGAATTCAGGGTAAGCTTTCCCACCACACACAGACACAAAAACCTGCAGTGCCTGGCAAAAAAACCATCCAAAATGCTGGCAGCCATGAAGCTGGTTATGCATGTGGGAGCTTCCCATGGGACAGCAATAAATCCTTAACAAATGCTTATTGAGAGGGACTCCCATTCCAGATCACAGATAAGGGAAGCTGTGGTGGTTGGTGTTTTGCAGGGACCAGCACTCACCACACCAAGGCTCAGGTAGATACCAGTCACAACACCCCAACACATAAGCACTCTTTCCAATATAAAACAATATGCAATAAAATATATATGTTTTGGTTCTAGCTTCTGATCACTGCCCCCACTTAAAGAATGAATGATGGATGCTTAGTACATGTCACTAAGGAAAAGGGCTAAAAAAGAAAACCAAGACCTGTGCACCAGACAACAACATTTAGCACCAATGGTCCTTTTAACATTGCCTATTTCAAAACGCCCCAGAAGAGCTGGTAAGTATTATCTACTTCTTCACACAAAGAAAAAGAAAGAATAAATCACTTTGCTAAGGTCATGAATCAATAAAAAAGGAAGAAGAAAAGCTGCTGTAGTCCCATGTCTACATCCAGAACCCTTTCTGGTTGCTTAGGAGGAACCTCTGGAGCTGGGCTTCACTGTGTCTGTCAGGACACAGACACACCATCTCCCAAATCTTGTCACAATTTTCCAGCTTCACCTACTGTAGAACATGTCATAAGCAATACAGCGTGAGCTCTGCTTCTGAAGGCTGCCCAGTGGTAAGCCAAGCATAGTTCAATCTATCAGCTGAGCATTAAGGCACCAGGATATCCAAAACACGACACTGTTTAAGTTCAAAGCTACCAAAGTGTCTAACAGTGTAGACAAAACTCTCTCCAAAATGTCCTCAGATGGTTAGAGGCAGAAGGGGTGGGCACACAGGGACTGGTTCAGCAACAGCAGACCTAACTGAGCACAGAAACATCTCCGGTACTTACGTAACTGGAGGGGCCACTCAAACCTCAACCTTTGGGCACACCAAAGTGAAGGTGTGGGCACATGAAGAATTTACCACACCTACAAGCAGAGCGTAGCACTGCGGTGAGGAAGCCCGCAGCAAACAGCCGATGGTGTGACAGCTCAGCCTCAGGAGAATGGGATAAACTGGTTCTGTTCTCACCGGGGCTGTTCCAGACAAAGGTTGCTCACAGTTCAAGGAGCTGCTAAACCTACACCTCAGCTCTTCCTGGGCTGTCATCTGCTCACACCCTAATACAGCCACTCACACCTGGATGAAAGGGTCATAAAACAAGAAAGGAGAATAACAGCACTGAAAAAATGCAGAATCAATATTACTTGAAGAGAGAAGGCTTTCACTTGGACAAAAAAAGAAGACATAAATTCAGTGTGGTGGGAGAAAAGAGAAAAACATGGGAGCCTGTGAGAGCAGGATATAGGAGATTATAGCAAAGCCTGTAGAAAGCCTCCCTCACGAGAGCTGCTTTAGCAACCAAAGGATATCTGTGTTGTCGTGGCCCAGCAGCCCCAGGAGGGACTGCACCGCGTTGAGCTCCACCAGCAGGTGATACAGGTCCGGCATCGTGGCGATCACGTGCATCTCCTGGATGATGTCATTTAAATCCAGCTCAGACTCCATGAACCTGGGGAGACACAAACATGATTAACAACAAGGGAAAAGGTGCATGAGGCGTGTTCAGTGCACAGCCCCCCTCAAAGCAGAGCCCAGCACCCTTCAGGAGATGCCAGGCAAGACGTGTCAACAAATTTAGTTTCAAATACAATTTAGAAGTACACGGTGACAACTGCTGTTACATGAGCCTTGTGTAACTGAAAACATCTGTACAGTCAAGAAATTGATTCGGGCTGAAACCTAAAATCGAAAGGAAAAGGGCAGTAGGGATTGAGCACAATCTTACTTCTCTGGATTGTCAGGAAACTTGATCCGCAGCTCCTGGTTTTTGTAAGATCTCTTCTCGAAGGTGAGAATCATCTTCTTCACTGAACTTTCATCCAGAGGTTCCTCCTAACCAAATCAGAGAGGGCATGAAACAGCTTGGGATGGATGGAACAATTACCCAGCAAAACCAAGTGCACAGTGATGTGGTGAGACTGTGGCCAGGCCCAGACCCTTCAGGAGCAAGCGGTCACCCCGGCAGTGTCAGGGCAGAAACCTGACAACACCCACCCCCACCCCATTACTGTTAGTTGTGGATTTACTCCAGCTCAGACCTGAGCAAGCTCCTGAGAGCAAAACCTTGTAAGTCAAGTTGTAATAAACCCAGGATTTATGATGGAAGGATCTTAGAAAAGAACCAGAACTGTTTCTGACCCTGAGCATCAATGAAAAACCCCAAACCGGCACTGCAACGGCTCATCTTCCTCTCATTGCTCTTCTACATTATTACCAGCACCATCAGCACCTATTGAGGCTTTTTGCTTCTGATGTACCAGGGAAAAGCTGCCCTGGCAGTTCATGCAATGAGCAGTTTCTTTTCAGAAGCCCATTGTGCTGTTTCCTTTCGCAGCTCTACATTTAACCACCCCCAGTTTATGTTCTTTGTATTTTCCTCACTTGGATAAGCTTTCACTGCTATTTTCAGAAGAAAAAAAAAAAAATAAATCAATATTTTACTCTAGTACTTTTTTATTTTTTTAAGTGCTTTTGAGGTGTTTCTCAGTTGGCAACACACATTTACTGCACAGCAGTGATAGAACTCCAGCTCCCTCCCCGACACCTCAAACACACTGCGGTTATTTTCCCTGTTTCATGATTTTAGTGCACTTTTATTAAAACATTGCTGATACAGATTTCTTGTGGAACCTATTCCCTCTCCTCTATTTGTATCTTCATTTAATTTGCATTCAGTATTGCAGTGTCCCACAGATTAGCTTCCTTCCAGCAGATTTCCTGGTACAAAGCACATTTTGATGGCGCTTACATCAACTGCATTTAAGATAATAAATGAGAGACTTTGGGTCTAAAGGAACCTTGGACATCAGCCCTTAAGATGTCTGGATGAGTGAACTCTGCCTGACAAAGACAAGGGACTTGTGCACTGCAGGAATCCATGAGGCTCCAGCCAGTCAAGAGGACCTTGTCTGAATCCATTCATCTCACAGGAGCTCACACATACAGAAATCCTTGCGTTATCCTTCGCTATCAGCAACCACTGCCATGGCAATAGCTCAACATCAAAAAAACAAGGAGCCTTTCAGAGAGGAATGCCAGCAATGCTGTGTACAGAGAACAATGATACTTTACAAACCTACATGATCCTGCAGTGGTGAATATCACCTGGGTTTTTATCAAACAGGCAGCAGGAAGCACATATCTTCTAGATTTATACCAACCCATGTGTCACATTTATAAAGTGATCTTTTCCCTGGCCCTTGGCAGAAAGGCCAATGCTGCATTGGATTTCTGTCTCCAAATCTTGGAATCATTTACCCTTGACAGCTGCCACACCCCACTGACCCAAGACCTTTCCTGTACAGCAGAATGTTTGGTTATTTGCTGCTGCACAGCTCCAGAGAGGGGAGAGGGGAGGCAATGCATGGCTGGGGCACTGATGAACAGCAGTGAGGAAATGGGATAGAACACAAACTGCTTCCTAAAAGTACATTTCAGAAGGTGATTGCAGCATAAAGCAGAGATTAGGCTTGAAAGCTTTCCCTTCCCCCTCCCTCTTGCCCCCCCTTAAGCCCTCAGAGGAGATCTGTGAGAAGCCCTGTTTGGAATTAATGAACACCCTGTGGGGCAGGGAAGTAAAACCGTAACCTCACGCTGCATGAGGCATGCGGAAATCACCAGTTGGTCGCATCATCTGCACACCAAGAAATGGAAATCAGGGAAGTGATTTAGTGTTTGCTCCTTTCCCCCGCCTCCCCTCTCCCGAAGGACACTGGTGATTTACCTCCTCCTCTTCCTCCTCACCATCCCTCTCAATTATCTGGAGGAGTTTCTTCTTCTCATCATCAGTTTCCTCCAGTGCAGCTGACTCCTCTTCCCGGTGACGACTGTGCTCCCGTGCACTCGCCTGCTTCCGACGGGCTTTGATTTCCTCTTCCTCTTCATCACGGGGCCTTTTTGTCCCTCTGTTAGGCTGCAGTCAGGGAAAGAAGAGGAATGAGTACAACTCCTTCCCAACCCTTGCAAGGCAGAACTCTGGTCTTACAAGACACACTGAGGAGATTCTTACAAGTTGCTTCAAACATTTGCTTACACAGCGCTCAACAGCTCTGAAAATGGGAAAGGAAATTAATTTAGTGAAGTGGAACATCACATGGGCAGATGAATGCCTCTGCCAAGAGCTGTGTCAACATCCTACCTTGTTTGATCTACGAACACCATTCCCAGGAAAACATCTCTGCAGGCAAAGGCTACGGCTTCTGAGGTAGGAGTCCAGCCCGAGCCACTGACCCATGATTTTGTTCCACAATTTCTATTTAATTGTCAAAATTAAAGGTAATTTGCCAGGGACAAGGAAAAAGTCCATTAACCCTGATCCTGTGGTTTAATTTAGGCAAAAAGGCATGGAAGCATTTGCAACAGAAGGAGAAACTCTCCCCTCAAGCACTACAAGGATATTAAATTTGACGTCTCTTATTTTTCTGAAGGACAACCAGGCTGGAACAGCACACTCCATGCTCTACACCTACAAGAAAACAAAGCTGAATTCTTTCCTATTTGAAAGCAGCAGGTGTCTTAAGAACAATGACAATAAGAACAATACTTTGACTCCCATCACAGCTCATAAGGCATTCCCACTGCGATCCCGATCCCAACATGCACACTGCAGGCCAGCTCTGGCTGCTCCTCCACACAGCCCAGGGAGCACTGAGCAGCTATTTACCTCCATGGAAAGGAAAAGCCAACAAATGAAAGCTCTGTTCCCAGGAAAAACCTGCTTTGGCACAGATGTGAAAACAACAAACCCCAACCCAACGACTGCACCCAAACAGCACCGAAGTGCCCATTCTGCCCAGAAGCCCCCAACGCACCCATTATACCCAGAAGCTGGACCAGCCTGGCCACCATCAGGTGGTTTTCAGGGTTACCAGCTTATCACCACTTTGAGGAGATGCAGAATCAAGTTTCTGCTCCTGATTAGCACAAATGGAAGCTCTCAGTGCTGGCCCCCAGCTAGACCTATTCAAACCTGTTATCCATCTCTTTCATCCCTACATCCTCTCTGCCATTTCCACTTCCATTAGGGACAGAACATTCCTGACTTTAAACTCCTCTAAAGTGCTCCCATGCACTTTTAAAGCAGTTACTCAGCTCATAATTCAATAACCGTGAAGTAGAAGCATACCCAGAGATTCTTTGAAATGAAAATTCATTTGCCAGGAGGGGCTGAGGGTTGGGGGGGGAGTTGGTGGTTGTTGGGTTTGTTGTTTTTTTTTAAAGCAGATTCCTATTACTTCTCTTCCAGGTACATTAAAGTCTAATTTCATGCAGATTCATTTAGAAACTAATGTGTCATTGTCAACAACCTGTAGTTCAAATTGTCCCCAAGCAATCAGCAACCCAATAAAGAGAAAGAGAAAAGGTGCTCTTCTAAAGAAACCATCTAAGGAAAAACCTCTGGTAGATACATGTTCCTTACTCAGTGCTCTTAGTGACACAAAGGTCCCTGTCCTTCCCCTCACTACCACCCAGCTCATCGCAACCCAGCCGTGACAGACCAGCATCACACACACAGAGCTAAAGAAACAGGGAGTCCTGAACTCTCCAGCAAAAGGCCCCATGAGATCTGCCCTGGCTGCTCCGTGTCCAGGGGTGCAGAACCCCACTCCTCATGCTCACTTCTAAGCATTAAAAAAAAGGAACAAACCCCTCAGTAAGACATGGCTGTAATGAGGGACCAGGGGGTGTCAGATGCAGTGAGGGACCGTGGGCAGGGGCTACATCACCCCAGCAAATCTAAATTAAAACTCCATCATGACACCAACCCATTTCCTCCAAGCACGTCCTCAGCAGCAACATTTACACCCTGCCTCAGCCTCAACTGCTTTATCCTTTTTGTATTTATGCATTGTCGAGGGGAGGAATCTTCTGTCACACATCCCAGGAATCATTATGATAAATTATGGAGCTGCCCCGTGTGCAATTATTAATGCTGCAACAGAGCAGCAATAGGCAGTAATTGAATTCCCAGCAAACACATTAAGTGGGCATTAAGGTTTTTCCTTCTGTTATTGATGTTATGCAAAACCTCACTCAGAATATTGCAGTTCTCCAGCACTACTGAAATCAAGGAACTGAGGCTGGAGGGAAGCACCTGACGCCTGCCCGGCTCCATGGTCAGAGGCTGCTGATTCAAGTGAGCATCAGCCTCTGCTCATCGACCCTCCTCCAACGTTTGCATTTGCTCAAGGACTGTCACCAACCAACAAGAATTAAGCACATCCATTGCTGTGCTGGCACCAGTGTATGTCCATAGAATCCCAGACTGCTTTGGGTTCGAACAGAGCTTAAAGCTCATCCAGTCCCAACCCCTGCCCCAGGCAGGGACACCTTCCACCAGAGCAGGTTGCTCCAAGCCCCTGTGTCCAACCTGGCCTTGAGCACTGCCAGGGATGGGGCAGCCACAGCTTCTCTGGGCACCCTGTGCCAACGCCTCAGCACCCCCACAGTGATGCTGTGTGAACAATTATGTGGTGCCTCACACATTCATTTAATCAGTGTCACAGCTTTATACACAAGTCTTGCTTTCTGGTAGGGAAGGGAAAGTTCATCATTTGCTAAATAAGAGGTGGGGTTTATACTCAGCTGTGCTAAGGTGCATTTGGCGAGGAGCTGGGATTCATTAGCAAATGCACAAGAAGAGCACTATGGAATTGTTTTGTTAGTTAAGCTTAATTCCATTCCACTGAGCGCAGAGCATTCACAGTAATTTATTCCAAAGACATTTTCATTTAAATCTAACACTGATATCACCACAGAAAAAGCAGCAAATACAAAAGGGCTTTAAAAAGCTGATATTTATAAAATGCAAGTAAACAGAAGCTGGCAACTGATGAAGCGGAATTATCTTTGTTTCTCTCCCAGTCCCAGCTGTATGTGCTTTGCAGTAAGGATGGACCCTGGGTGGGCACAGACCTGCCCTGGAAGCACCCACCGCTCACAGCCCCTGGAACACCAGCGCCCAAAAGTCAGAGCAACCACATCCCAAACATAGGACAGGCTCTGCCCAGGGCCCCGGTCTCCCTCAGAGCACTGACAGGACATTGATACCAGGATTAAGCACCCCATCGGCTCCGAGAATGTTGTTTAGGCCCCCAATTGCTTCCAGCCTTCTCCGAGCACCAGGCAGGTTTAGAGGAGCCTCAGTAATGGAGTTTCACATTACCGAGACATCTGCTTGGTACGTAACCTTGTTACTGCGAGCTCAGAAATTGTTAATGAAATCTGAAATAAATCTTCCTAAGTGATGCAGCTCCTGCTGCGGCCGCAGCCCGCCCTGAGCCCCCCCAGCCAGGGGGAGCTGCCAGGGTAGGACCCTGAGAGCAAGCCCTGCTCTCCAGGGGCATCTTCACTAACCTCTTCATTTCGTGTCCAGCATCTGTGATGAACCAAGCTCTGATCAATCTTACTTTGGTTGGTTTTTCCTCCTGAAACACAACACTTCTGGACGGTGCAGGATCTGAGTGTTAAAAAGGGGGAACTAGTACCAGGAAAATACAGAAATCTCAGCAAGTCCCAAGAGCTCAAATTCACACAGGCTGAGGTAACCAAAATGCAAGTCACGCCCTGTACCTCCACAGATACAGATTATTACTTTCAGAGAGAAAGAACACAGCTCCTCTCCCTGAGGAGCACAGCCATCAGGACCCTGTGGGGCAGGGACCTTCCCTGCCCTGCTTTGGTGGCCAGGGATAACACAGCAAAAAGTAAACTAAAAGCTCAGCTGCAGCCAGCAGTGCACCAGCCTGTGCACCAGTAAGTACAACACAAGCTCCACGGCATAGGGCCAGTGACAGCTCCATGTTTGAACCCACAAGCAGGATGAGAGGCACTGGGATAACAAGGCTGGAGAGTCAAGAACACGCTCAGCTGAGCAGCCCCTGCACCAGGGCACCCATTCCAGTGCAGACTAACAGTGAATAAGCTACAGCAGCAATCATTGTGCCTCTGCTGATCCACAGGGACTCATCCTACTACAAACCACACTCAGCCCCTTCCCACAGTGAGGGGATGTCCCCAGTCAGACCTCACCCCTCATCTGCTGCTGCTTCTGTTATCTGAGTTTACTAATAGTGCATTAAAAAATGGGAGTTAAACCCATCTCCCTTATTCCTCTCAACTGGAAGGGATCTCCGGGAAGAGCCGGGGGTGGCTCTGTCCCCTCCATTACCCCCATAATGGGAGACCAGACACAGGAGGCCGTTAGAACAGCAGCAACATTTAACCATCAGCTCAGACCATCTGCAACTGTTTTGCAGCAACACATAAAGTTTATGGATTCCTCAGCTTGTATAAACTGCCAGGTGCTGTTTAATTGTATATTTTGTTGCAAGAGGTTCCTTTTTCCCACACATGGTGCTGAGTCAGTGGCACAGTGCCCGAAATCTTCCACACCAAGTTTGGCAGCGAGGGAGAACATCCTCTTGATTAAGCAAGGGCACAGATCAGGCATTTAGAGGAGAAAAATTCAAAACACTGCAAAAGAAAAGCAATTATTGTGGGTTGTGCTGAGGGAAGCTGAGGAGACAGATTCATCTGCAGCAAGAGATTAAAATCAGAGGGCTGAGGAGCACAACTCCCACCCCCAACAGCCAGTGCCATCCCTGCAGCAATGGCAAAGGAGATCCTGAATCAGCCCAGGGCAGCAAAGGGGCCAGCTTGCACCCAAGGCAGCCTCATGGCACCAGACAGCAGCCATCCTCCTCCTCACCAGCCCGAGCCCTCCTCCTCCTCGCAGAAGCAGCAGCCCATCAGCCAGGAACAACATGGAGCTCACTTCATTTCTCCACCACACACAGGCTGGAATCCTCCCTGTGCCACAGGCACCATGGAACTATTCTGAATGTGATTCATCGGGTGGACAAGAGTGTGCATTTCTGAGAACACCACAGAAAGCAGATGACTCGGAGACGTGGC